CTCCTCATCTATGATGATATGTGGCTCGCCCAGCACTATTTCTCTTTAAAAGAACCCATTCCCTCGGCAAGCAACGTGTTCTTCCCAACACTTCAACACTTTGGCGGCCGTTATTTTACTCGTGCGCGTTATGGAGGGCGTTATTTTATTCGTGTGCGTTATTTCCATGCGACTCTGGCCGTCTGCGCTCTATGTCCGAACCTTGGTTAGCGGAAGGCAAACAAAGGAGCAACCTCGTAAGCTCGCTTAACTATGTTCTCGCCTCTCTCCCATCCCGCCCCAACTTTTGCTCACCATCAGACATTTTGTACTGGCAAGGTCGCACATTATTACCTGTATTCGTGAATTATCGTCAGCGATCTGTCTATCGAGCCAAGGCCATCCAAAAAGAAAACTGCTTTCGTTCTCCTAATTGAATACGATAACACAGAGAAAGTTACATGTAAACTTAACTAGAGAGACCCACCTCTTCCGGCGCATTATATAAATTTGAGGCTAAATTTCCATTGTTAGAGAACGTTCTCATCTCCATAAAAGGTGGCCCCTCATGAAAACGTTGCTGACGCGTTTTCTCAGGCATACCACCATAAGAAACACGTTGTACGGGAACCTAAGCAGTGTAGCTCATATACACCTTTGGCGAAGTACAAGCAACTTTAAGTCCTGTAGTGAGAATGTTGAAGTACCTGCGCTACCTGTGATCCTGAGCGCGGCTTCAAAGGAACACGAACAGTAGAATCACGAACTTCAAGCTGCAACTCAATGCTTCGAACACATGGATACATTACAAACATCTAGCAGCATTACGTTTCTTGGAAAGTCACAATCTGCAATATTGCGCCAGCGCTACAGTCACGGTACAGCATCGTGATGTGTGAAATGGGATGTAGGTACCCCCCCCCCCCTTTCCCACACCTATCTACCAATTTTCCACCACATTTTCCAGCTTTTTCACTCAAAAAATTCGAGCGGGGGAGGGGGAGAGAGAGGGGTTATACTAGTACACCTGGAATCGATGCCGAAACGAACCGAGGGAACTTTTTTTGCCCAACGCGGACGGAATTTCTCTCAAAGCCATAAAGCCATTACGATCTCTCACCTCCCAGCGGAAAGTACCATCGCGCTTAATTTGTTTCACACAACGATGTTGCACCCTGGCTACAGTTGCCAGTAATTTTCGAGGGAGAATAGTGCTCCGAGTGGTTGAACCATCTATTAATTTCTGAAAAGTGGGAATGTCTGCAGTGGGCTCTCACCAAGGAGTTCTCTTGCTCTGTCCACCCTTCCCTTCAAGAGCGCACGTTACTAGAGGGCCGCTACACGCCGATGCAATATTGTAGACTGGCTCCTCTCAAGGCATGTGCATCCGAACTGAGGATTGGAAGCAGGGCACGTCCTACATTGGGAAATTCCCCACCTGCGAGAGGGGGGAGGGGGTGGGGTCGTAGTTGGTCGTTAGAGAGAGGGGACTGATCTAAAAAATTTTTTTGATTGTCGCTTTTTTTCTCTGTTGCATGAGCGCTATCCACATCTCGGGAGAAGTTCAATGGGGGAGGGGGATGGACGTTGCCTGATCATACTTGCTTCATCGATGAGAGAGTGAGTACATATTTTCGTATTCGCTCTGTAAGAAATGTGCCCCGTTCTCCGGTTGGGTTGCTTTTCGCGATTCTCCAGTGCTGGTGCTATATCCATCCCCTCCCCCTCGCGACGGCAAGATGTTTGTGAAGAATTGGAGAAATTCCGATAGCACTGGTAAGAAATTTCGAAAAGTAGGCAAGGGAGGCACGACAGAAGGTAGGATGAAGAGGAGGAGGGATCGTATCTTTCAAACTTTCCCAGTGGCAGGAGGTGCCCTGATTAGAAGATACCTTGCATATTCTATATGCACTAATCGCAGAAAACGGTGAAATAGTAGTCTCACAGCCATCTGTCCCTGTTTATATTCATGATGCAATCTTTTGGGCAATCGCCTGTAGTAGTGTAGGCAGATGGCTGTGAGACTACTTTATACAGTTGTAGCGTACAACTGTTCATCCATGCTACTGGAGAACCAGACACCTCGTGAAAATAACCAAATAGGTATTGTTAACATTCTACGCCCCTGGTGGTTCGCAGAACGGCGCCAAGCAAAATGTCTTATCGGCTAGAAATGCCGGTATGGCAAAACGCTGGCGAATTCAGCTCCATGAAAAAAGGGCGTGATCCGCATCGGTTCCGTTGAGAAGAATTCGTGAGCGGTCAAAGCCCATCTTCGCCTGCTCGTTTCTCCGGTTTCCCCGATCAATACATACCTTCTTCGCCTGCTCGCTTCTCCGGTTTCCCCGATCAATACATACCTTACTCTTTTCGCGAAGGCGCCGGATTCGCCCGCCCGGGGCACCTAATCCACTTGTCAATACGTATCGAAACCTTTTCGCGGAAGTGCTTCTTTCTTCAGGGTCGCAGATCATGAACAATGCCTTATTGTTAGTACGGTATACAAAAAAATAGGGGATAAAATAAAGGGTACAGAAATTGTCCTGTTCAAATAAAGCATTCCCCTCCAAAGAGCTACGGAATTATCTTCTTCCCAGAAAACTCGCAACCATTAGTTTTGAGAGTGCAAAAAAAGATAAATAAATAAAATGACACTCACAATGAGCCGGACTCCCATATCACACAGACCACCCATCTTATCTCCGATTCCACTTGTCGTACCAGAAGAGAACGCTGAAAATTGAAAGAAAATCATGTGAACCATGAAATCTGCAGATGTGGGGCCGCGTTAATACTTTGCGACTGCGGAGCTTCGGCAATTTGAGCGATTTGGCGACCTGAGAGATTGCGCGACAAGTATAGCATCTACCTGGCGACTGAGGAGATTGAGCGATCCAACATTCAGAAGATTGAGCTATTAAGCGATTCTGGAGACTCGGCGATCTGGCGTCTGGGAAATCGCCAGACCGCCGAACCTCGCGGCATTACCAAAAAAATAAAAATAGGATCCTTGCAAAGTTTCATAGGCAGCCTATGAAAGCATCCCCTCAAGTAAAAAAAAAACTATGAGTGCAAGACTTACATGTAAAGAAATATGTCTTGTTTGGATAGAAAGCTGCTTGTGTAGGCCCAATACCGAGACTTCGCAGAGAAACTGTCACATATTTTAGCCCACGAGAGCATTCTCCGACCCACTGGGCTGATAAATCGTATTTACACTCAGCGAATGATTCCTCCGATACCTCAAATCATTGAAGTAATCACTAAATAGTATGTTGACGGTTTTGTCAGCAATGATAGACGAAATGACAGGAAAGCAGCGGCTGGCAATACCACTGAGTACTATGAGCGCTAAACAACACCATACTGTCCTGGGCGTTTTTAGCGACGAAAAGGCTGGCGGACTCTCAAAACTCTGGTGGACGCTCAGAATGGTGACGCTCGAAACGCTGGATCGATACCTATGCTTTCCTAGTCGCTCAAAACGCTACCGCAATGTATGAACGCACATTCGATGACCGAACCACACAACTGAACGCTACTCCACTGTGTCTCTACTTGCGACGGGAGAATAGCAGAATCGGGAAATCGATGCAACGGAAGAATGCGCGGCAAAGAAAGTATAGGTATCGACCCAGCATTTCGGAAAAATAGGAGAATCGAAGTTTCAGGAGTCAAAAACGTTTTCTTCCGTGAACTGTAAACGCAACTTAAGTCGAAACCCTTTTGTGTAATAGTAACGTCCTCCACCATAGCGGCAAAACACTTTTTCGCACGAAGAAGTTGCTTCACCCATCCAAGAGCTCCGTTCCCTAGTCCTAGACGAACATCCTCGTCGCACTGGTTCAAGAGTGCGTGCATACTTTGTGTCACACTGTCGTCGTTTTGAATGCCTCGCGTGTTTTGCACCGAAATGCCCTGCTCATTTGAATGGCACCTAGAAGCAGTCAGAAAATATAGGAGGGTAAAGATGAAGGAGTCACAAGAGTGCGTTCATACTCTGTGTCAGCGTTTTGAGCGTACGGCAGCGTTCACAGCGACAAGAAAAGCACAGATATCGATCCAGCGTTCTGAGCGTACGCCATGTATGAACAAGTATGGACGCTGCCTAATCGGTTACGATTACTAATAATGTTAGGAACCATGGGTTGAAACCAGGCTGGATGTATCGAACGAGGGGTATAAACCGTAACGGATGAAGATATTGGCAGATGTTAGCTTCCGAATTAGAGGTAATAACGTATGAAACAGCCTTATGGCAGCAATGAATCATATCACGAGCAATATGTATCTAAAGTACTGCCAAGGAGCGCGCTCAGACTTCGCGCTGACGCGATCGCGAAGTATGAACGCGCTCAAGGGCCCAAAACTGCAAGTTACTCCACGCATGCTCGTAAAGTTTTCGCCAGTCCTAGGTTCAGCAATTTATGCTTTTTAATTGGATTTAAAAAGTAGGCCTTATTTGATTGAGAGTGTTTCACTGAAGGAAATCATTCCGAACAAGAATCCAATCTAGCCAAGTAGCCTCGTACTACCTCAGAAATGAAAATTTTACAGATCCGTATATTTGGGTACCTTATAAATGACAGCTGGCACAGATTTGTCGCAAGCAAATACTATACGATCAAGAAGATGAAGCTCAACCAAAGCTGCATGATCAATCATCGGATCACGAAAGCTGAAAAGATTCATAGAGATGAAATTTTACCAGACAACTGGGCGCTAACGTAGTTACGGGGGGGGGTGATACCGTTTGCCCGCGCTTGTTAACCCCCTTCCACAATAAAGTTCAGACTTGAAGCGCAGACGACCGTCTTGCCGAGAAATGACCCCACTAGAAGATATGGTCTTCACTAGGCCAGTCTTCTTTAGTGGAAGGGAAACGGAGGCGGGCGAGTCGTCCCCCCCCCTCAATTACATTAACGCCAACAACTGTTAACAAGGTAAAAACGAGGTCTTAAGGAATATTCAGGTAACTCACGGTTCACCACTCGGCGACCACTCAACAACTGCTTTCTTGATGAGGGCATCAACTTTAACTGCCATAATCAAAATAATAAAGACGACTCGGAACGAATCCCATGGATGCGGAGGACCTCGGTATGAAGATCGCACTATGAACATTATATTTGTATATCTGGAAAACTGAACAGGTGAATTATCAAAGAAAAATAATCAATATACAAAAAACGAAGGCCAAAAAAGAAATCGAAAACTGGCCTAAATTTCGTGATCGATGAGGATTACGGTAGCTCGCCGAGCTGCGCGCCTGTGCAGAAATTTCAAATCGTTGAATTTTTTGTGTTCCTTCTTGAGTTTTTTTCATAGGTGTAATAACTTTAGTCTTAGCGGTCTCATATATTATTGAACTATCTGACTGTAAGGGTAAAATTTCTCTATTATGGTGCCGCAAAAGTAATATTGCTCGTAACATTTTCGTAGTATTTTTTTTTCGAGACAAATTTATTCCATCCACTAACAATACCAATCAATAATACAAAATCAGTCTTCATCGATGACTTGTTGCTTACGACTGTGCAGAGAGGTGGGCTCTCCCAGAAGCTTTAATGTTTTCAGCTAAAAGGAGATTAGGTCGTCTTCGAGTTTCTTCTGAGAATGCGAACTCTTACCTGCAGGATGGCTGCTGAGGGACAGGAACAGATGGTTGGTAGAAGGGGCTAAGTCAGTAGTCGGGCTGCACAGTGGCTGCTGTGGAAGTCCTCAGCCAGGCTTCACTTTATCAAGCTGTGTCATCTTTGAAGCAGGTGTATATCCTGCCAGTTGCGGAACCACATGTTGGAGTTTTTTATATGATTTTTGTAGCTGATTCAAGTAAAGCGCACTGGTCACCATAGTATTGGGAGTAAGAAGTTCCCAGTGGTAATTTTAGTAAACGAGGCGGAGGTGGTGTAGTGACAAGTGGCGCGCTTACCACTCGCGCGGCGCCGGGTTCGAATCCCGGGTCGACTCCCGCCCAGGCCAACCAAGCCTTCTACCCTCCGGGGACGGTAAATTGGTACCAGATTCGTCTGGGAGGATAAAACACTGACTTGTACATCGGCTGGCCACCGCAAGTCATTGTATAGGCCACATCGCATTCAATAAGCCACTACGATTCTGAATGGAAGTAGAATGCGTGCCGCATCCCACAAAGGGATTGATCAACGGCGAAGACTTCATCCTTTATTCTTCGTAAACGCCCCACTACACCACGCAGAGCATGACCTTATTCCCAGATTGGATTCCATGACCGGTTCTGCTCTTTTTGGTAAATCTAGCCACTGGCACTTCCGGGCATGGTTCACGTAGAGACACCACTTCTTAGATCCAGTAACAACGTTGTTAACCGGTCCATACGGCGAGAGCAGGAAGAAGCTGTAGGCAGCCGTGCATTTGTTCCTTTGAGATCAGTACTTACGAGGAATCCATTGACCGAGC